CCTGCTGCAGATCCTGGAAGGAAGGCGCTGCTGGGAACATACTCAAACTTCTCGTGCAGTTCAGGCTTTTCTTTTTTTTCCCCCCAGAGCTAGCACAGGGAGTGCTTTGAAGGTATTGCAGGCGTTGTGGATGAGGCCCGCTCTGTATGCGGGGACACGATTTGAAATCGCTGCTGTAGAGTTGCTGCTTTGTCTGTGAGAACACTGACGTTTAATATTAGGGGTGCCTCTGTGTGCTCCTTGTCATTTTGCTAGGGGTCAGCTGGCTTGGTGGTGTTTGCAATTGAATTGAGATGAGCTGCCAAAAGATACTCCCGGTGCAAAGTGAGACTGTGGAAAGAGGACAGAGGGAGTATTGTGCTTTCAGTCCGCACTTGAGACCCTTTCAGAATATCTCCGTTTTGGCAAGCCCACAATCAAGTTGCAGAAGCTTTAGATTCTTCCCGGGAGAAGTGGGCTCCGCAAAACCCACCAGACTTGGCACTGTCTGCAGACAGGGAACTTGACTGCGGTAGTACTTGGAAATGCCCAAAAGAGCATCTATTAATATTACTGCATCGGCATTTATTGCCGAATCAGTTTCTATAAATAATAGAGATCATCTGTTTAAGTCTCCTGTATTTTTTTAAAGAACCATCTCCTATGAATTATGCTAATGCAAAGAGAAACACCAGAAAATTCCTCCCACATTTAATTGATGCTTTGTAACTACTGATGGGAAAAAAGCACCACAATGATGCGTTGTGCTGGTGGGTGGAGGAAACCTCATTTGTGAATGTGTGTTCTAACAGCAGGACACACTGACTGGGGAACTGCCTGCGCCTGATGAACTAGGAAAGATGGACCTAGAGGAACAGGAGAGGTCACCTAAAAGGGAAAAGCTTATTTTGGAAGGAGACCAATTCCAGTAAAATAAAATAAAAAGGAAAATGGCAAACAGTTGTCAGAGAAGCACTATATGAATTTCAGTTCCCACCGGCAGCTGTTGCAGTAGCATTTGGTCTGCTTCAGTGTTTCCAAAGCTCCAGCTTTCTCTTAGCAACAAAAACATAAACAAGCTTATCATCTAATATTAGATCACAGGGATGTCTCTGAACTTGTGGCCTTAAATTATCTGTGTGAAGCCAAAAGGTTAAAGCAGACGAGGCTGCTAGGTCTGGGGAGGAACAACGAGCAACGTGCTGTGGAGCGCTGGTTGGTGTCCTTTGGTGGCCAGCAAGCCTTACCCTGGCCCACCGCAGCGTTTCACCCGTGGTGTTTTACCTGCTGCCAGTTTGCTGGCTAAATCGGTCAGCAAACTCTCCAGTAGCTGGAAAATGGTGTGAACCATGCCTGGCGTCGTTACGACGGGGGGGAGGGAAACACAGAAGAGAAAGCAGCACGGGAGACGCAGCGCTGGTGCTGAGGAGGGGCTGGAAAGGTGCCATCTTCCAGAGTCAGGATTTTTGCCAGGCAGTTTCTTTTTTGTGGGAATTTTGGAGCCGCCGATGCCTGTCGCCACGGGGCTCGGCGATCTCCTGCCAGCGTCGAATTGTCTCGCGTTGCGAAGGCGTTGGTCCGGCTGCACCCAGAACAGCACTGGCTCTGCTAAGGGTGAATTACAGGCGCGGGGATGCTGTGCCTGCAGTATCTGGTGCAGACCCTGTACTCCTGGTGCAGAACTAACACCCTTCTGGTTTCTCCTTGGAGCAAGCAGGCGGTGGGGACGCGGGGGTCCTGTTGCTGGCAGCCCGCTGGGGGATTAGCCGGACTGACAGCGGCCTCTAGTGCCACCAGCTCCTGGGCAAAGCTCAGCTGCGACCTTGGCCGGGTGATCCCAGCGCAGGGCTCTGCTCAGCTCTTCTGCTGCAGCCCCTCGGAGAGGGTCCCCGTGTCCCCCATCCCTGCTTGGAGCCCTGCCTGTGGAGGAGCGGGCCCTGCAGGAGGTCTTGCTGTGCTGGAAAGTCACTTGTGCCATGGAGAGGGAAGGTCTGGGGGGTCTGGGTCTCACTGAAGCCAGCGAGCTTCGGTTCCTGGAACAGAGTGAAGGGCTACCCCGCAGCCCATGGCCCATGGTTAGCTGTCACACGGGGCAAGACAAGCTTTCACAGAATCCCAGAATGGTGGGGGTTGGCAGGGCCCTCTGTGGGTCCCAACCCCCTGCCCAAGCAGGGTCACCCAGAGCAGGTTGCAGAGGACCTTGTCCAGGCGGGTCTTGAGTATCTCCAGAGAAGGAGACTCCACAGCCTCCCTGGGCAGCCTGGGCCAGGGCTCTGTCACCCTCAGAGGGAAGAAGTTCTTCCTCATCTTCAGCTGGAGCTTCCTCTGCTTCAGTTTGTGCCCGTTGCCCCTTGTCCTGTTGCTGGGCACCACTGGAAAGAGCCTGGCTTTGCCTGAGAACTTCTGAAAGGCAAGTCTGTGTGCTCAGTTGTGTGACCAGTTTAAAAGGACCCCTGAATTTGAAATCTGCCTTGCTTTTTGTAAGAATTAGGATTTTAATTTGTCCTTCCTCTTCTCCCCCCCGCTCCTAGCGCAGCCGCTCTGTTTATACAGTCGCATTCTGCAATTGTGTTTGGCCTTCCTGTTTCTCAGGAAGGTTCCAGCAAGGGGTGGCTTGATTTTTGTAAGAATTAGGATTTTAATTTGTCCTTCCTCTTCTCCCCCCCGCTCCTAGCGCAGCCGCTCTGTTTATACAGTCGCATTCTGCAATTGTGTTTGGCCTTCCTGTTTCTCAGGAAGGTTCCAGCAAGGTGGTAGCGCTTGCCGTCAGCCACAAGCTCTTAGTTAGAGACAGGAAACACGGCTCTCTCTTCCTCATTTTTTAATGTATTCTGAGCAGCTTCTCAGATTGATGGAGAACAGGAGTGAGGTGGGTTTGTTTTCCTGGCAGCTTCGGGGCCGACAGTTGTGCTCAGCCTGGCTTCTTCCCCTCCAAAGTTTCCCCTAGAAACTATTTTCAAGTAAAGGAAGTTCACTGATGTGCAAGGTAAATGTGTCTAACAAACATTGCTCTGTTCTGCTTCATTCCCAAGAGGAATTTATTTTTCATTCTTCATTCCTTCATTCTGAGGATCCAGCTGCTAATTATAGCAGCATATATTAATAATATATTAATAACTGAATCTTCCCCCACCAGTACTGTTAGATGAACAATTTTTTGGCAAGTCCTTTTACCTCGTGATTCTTGTCCTGTCCAAATTCAGAAGATGACTCCTCTAGGGTGAGCGTGGATGCCCGGTATGTCCGTTAACCCTTGTTATCTGACAAAGAAATGAGAAACGCTGCTCTCTAAGAGGTGAAGTTACGGAATCTGCATTCAAGGGACATTTCAATGTCACTTAAGAGGAGCTAGTAAAAGAAGCTACAAGCATTGTCTCGCTACACCTTGGGGGGTTTTCAGTAGTATTGGCCCCTCTCATCCTCACCCACTGACTGTCATAAAGCTGCGTGGTCTGGATTCTCCCGGGAAAGGTCCCTGGGAAGCGGCGTGGTGGGGACACTCGTGCAAAGCGCTGCTGCACGGCAAGGGACGGGCTCCCGGCCACGCTGCCCCGCGGACAGCGAGAAGTTAAGGGGTCTCTCCCTTGTGAAGAACTGAGCGATCATCTGGCACCTGCTGTGGAGAGCGTTTCTCTGCCATGCTCCTGCAGTTAATCTCGTTCAGATAAAGTTGTCCTTTTTTTAAAAGGCTGCTGGCGCAGATGACGTGGGAGGGCAGGAATTCCACTGCCCGTCGGACTGTCCATGTTGGGAAGCGGCGAGATTGCTCCCACAGTATCGGAAATTAGGCTGCATTTTTATTTGGAAAAAGGTCGAGGTGTGGGATGGGGGTCGCCGCTGCGGAGCCTTGTTCCCTGTAAAGGCGGCGAGCAGGTGTGCTGCTGCGTGCTCAGCTGC